AAAGGTTACTACTGTGCTAGTGAGGTTGCAGTAAGGATAAATTGTGTCAATGTATCCAAGAAACCTTCACAAAGGTTACTACTGTGCTAGTGAGGTTGCAGTAAGGATAAATTGTGTCAATGTATCCAAGAAACCTTCACAAAGGTTACTCCTGTGCTAGTGAGGTTGCAGTAAGGATAAATTGTGTCAATGTATCCAAGAAACCTTCACCAAAGTTACTTCTGCAATTTTGTAATACATTTAGCAGGAAATTGCAGATATTTTGTGCGTAACACGTAGTATTAGTTGAGTTATAGTGATTATATGCTGTAAGAAAAACTTTAAACATTATTCTTGCTCATGTAACAAACCATGTTAAATGGTTTTACTGGTATGAATTTTCAAAAGAGTTTGCAAAATTCTTAGACACTCTGCATATACTTTTAGAATATTGTATTTTGAATATACATTTTATCTTCTTTGCTTTCTAAGTCTCAAAAATTTCACCCCCAAAGCTAGAGTTATGAGTAAAAATGGTTATTTAAGCTTTTTAATAAATAAATAAATTAGCAGCATTATTTCCAAGCAGGGATAGTTAAACGTTGTCGACCTACTCTATATGTCACTGTTATGAACCCCAGCAAACATGGATAACCAGTAACAAGTAAAGTATATTAATAATCTCAAATATATATATAAATAACACTAGTTGAATGCCTAGAAAGAGTGTAGTTATTTATTGAAAGACTCTACATTTTGAAGTTTGGAAGATTTTGTTGACATTTAAGTAAAATACTCATCTGGTCACCGAACATTCTCACTCTTTCAGCCGTGGGAGCGTTATGATGTGACGGTCAATCATATTATTCAATTAGAGTAGCCCAAAAGTTGACGGTGAGTTGTATTGACTAGTTGCTTTTCCTCTAGTCTGTTACTTCAAAATTAGGGACGACGAGTACAGATAGATAGCCCTCGAGTAACTTTGCGCGAAATCATGCCTTACACAACCACATACCTCAACCTTGAATCATGTCCTACACAACCATGTACCTCATCCTTGAATCATGTCCTACACAACCATGTACCTCATCCTTGAATCATGTCTTACACAACCAAGTACCTCACTGTTAGGCTTCTTGAACTGATGGGATACCCCATAGTTGATTCAATAATTGCTTTCTTTGTTTGTTTTGAAGTTAAGTACAAAGCATCACAATAGGCTATCTGTGCTCTGCCCACCCGGACTCTAGCGTTATAAATCCGCAGGCATACCGCTGTGCCACTGTGGGGGCAATGTTTGTTTGTTTGTAGTTAAACATAAAGCTACACAATGGGCTATCCATGATATGCTCACCGCGGGTATCGAAACCCGGTTTTTAGTGTTATAAAATAACTGAATGGACAGTTAATTTTCAAATCTATTTTATTGGCATTTTCAAATATAAAAACAAACTAAGATCAAAGGTCAGTTGTTAGATTGTTACTTCTGGTAAACGTCTAAATGAATCGGATAATTTACTGGTATATAAGTAAATCACAAAGTTGTAAAGAGCTTGGCTGAGTACTTTATTTTGGCGTGAATACAAGTCTTTGAATTTATTTGATTTGTTAAATGCTCTTAGACTATCTATACTATTGATAACCGGAAGAAGAAATTTCAGATGATAATAATTAATGCCATGTGTTAGAAACTAGTAAATGTATTACAAAATGTGTACAATATATTTTATTTTATACTGCGAATCCCAGTGTTACAATTTACTGACACTTTCATAAGTGTTTAAATCCATTAGAATCAAATGTAGGCGAAACTGCCAATTCTAATCTGTAACACATTATAGTTGCTTTTCTAATACTTCTGAAGAAACTCTTGTAGGAACAGATATATCTACTTTCTCTAATGGAGTCGCTGATGTTTTGATATACAAGCAGAAGTAGAACACTATTGAAAACGGACACAAGAATGGTTAAATTGTGGACAAATCTAGATAGTTTATAGATATTGAAATGTTTACGAAACTAAAGTATGCTGCATGTAATTTTCACAAATATAATGTGTTCAAACGTTTAGTATAAATGTTTTTGTTACAAATACGGATATTAAAAATAGCATTTTAGCACATCTGTTCCAAAAATTTTCATATTTAGAGTTATTTTAAAATATTAATAGCGTAGGTAATTAATATGCAAAAAATAAGCACGGAATATTTGTTACGTCGCATAGTTTTTCTTTAGTGAGAGTACACTGTTGCCCGATGAAATTTCATATAAGTGGGTCTCAATCTTGTAATTAAATAAAATGTATTTAATATAGAGAACATTCCTTGTTTATTTGTTACAAACTTTAGAGATATTATTTACCAAAGTTACCAAATGGGCTATCTGTGTTGCACCCACCACTGGTATCTAAACCAGGTTTTTAGTGCTATAAGCCTTCAAACTTGCTGCTGAGCCACTGGGGGACATAAATCTTTCTTAGAAATTTTGAGATAGTGAAACTCATATACTTAATTTATTATACTACAACATATATGAAACCTATGTATTCAGGGTTAGTGAACAGATTTGTTTTTCTAGGAAAGAATACTTTAAAGTGAAATCTTGCTTATATAGTAAAAGACGTTAGGCAAGGAACCTGATAATTAACAACTCCACAACCCCTTGTCTGTTTATTTAGGTTAAATGTCCCTTCAATCTTTTTAAGCTTCCAGTATAGAAAAAGGAATCCATTTCTTGTGATGACATAGGAATGAAGAAATGAAATGTTCCTCAAAATAGGCATAATTGAACATTTTCCACGTAATAACAAGTTTATTAATAATTAAATATATAATTGATAAACATAATCTTGGAATCAAAAATAAACAGAAGTTATCTTGAACAATAAACTATTTCTGCTCTCCGCAGTCCTAGTAATAATTATATGTCATATAATTATATGTCATATGTAATAGCATTCGCTTATTTAACAAGTTTTATCTGGTTTGTACAATGAAAAGTGAAAATATAATAATATGCAAGTGTTAAAATAAAATGAATTGTTTTACAAAGATGTAGTTTTAAAATTTATTTAGATTTAATATTTGCATTTTGGAAAACAATTTTAAGTTTTTTTCTTTCATTTTGATTGATTAATAAAAACAGATTTTTAATACGTTATACAAGACGTTAATCTTGTGAGGTCAATCGATAAACAATATTATTTTTATTTGGATAATCATAAATTATGTGTGTGTTGCATTGAAATAAATTATTTGATTTAATGTAGAACGAGAGACATCTGAACTTCTTAATCATTGAGATACCAAATCATTAATTTCTTAAGCTTTTATTTCATTTAAATTACATGATATACTGTTAAGCCTATTGTATTGTAATAATATTTAAAACATGACTGTTATATACATCTGACAGATAATTTTTAAACAGCAGAGTTTAAGATACAGTTATATATTACTCTTATAATCACGAAAGTTACTTGCTTATAACTGTTTACATGCTTATATTTTCAAATAGTACACAAAATCGTGGAAACAATTATACACAGAGTTTGGAAATTCAATGAAAGCGAAGATTGGAATGATAAGTCAATGGCTACGAAAAGAAGACCGGATTTCTTAATAAACACGACATTAGTCAAAACAGGAAAAATAATACATAGATCTGATAAAAGATCGACCTAAAGGAACACACCCTTCATTGCTCTTATCACACTGTAGATGGAGTTGTTTGGTGATGGTGAACAGAGATGAACTCTGTTGAAATCCATTCTGAAATGACAGAAAATCTTCGCTTTAGTTAGCGCTAAATCTTAATATTAAGCGTATAGTGAGATTCAAATATTTCAGTTCATAGCTAATGAAAGGTATATTTTGAATTGTCGTTTTTCTTATAATATAAGAAAGACTTATCAATTAATACTGCTTTCAATGAATATCGGAAAATATAACTATTTGGTGAGATAAAACGAATTTCTTTATTAATCGTGAAAGTAATGAGCTATATTAAAATTTTTATTTTATCATCATTTCATCAGAATTTCAAAAGTCTTTACTGTTAATATTTCCTAAAATAAATTATCAAAGTAACTTTACAACCACTTATTCATTTCAAATCGTCACAAAGTAATTCGATATATATTTTCAGCTTTTTATATATATCACATTTTTCTTATTTATATAAGGTCCGAAGTAAAGATGTCTTAAGTTATCTATGTTCTAAAAATGAGTAGTGTGATATAGTTTATATACCGAAATTCTCTCGATCTTTCAATTAGTTACCATTCAACGGAAGTGTTTATGCTAAATATATATTCCAAATGAAAACTACATTCAAACCCATTTAATTGTTTAATACGTAACATTCAACTAATTATAATCCATCAAAAGAGTTTTAGAAGTTACCAAACAAAACTAAAGAGCTTTGAAATAAAAGCTTTTTCATTGAATAATTAGATATATTTTATTTATCAAATTGCACAACAGTTATCATAAATAAAATATTGCATCTCAACATAAACCAAAATCTACTTTAAATAACAATTTCATTTCCCTATGTAATAGCTGACTTATAAACCTTGGTGGTCTAATTTTTCTCAGACCTACTAAATTTTTGATGCTCTCCCTTACACAATAAAAATTGCTCGCAATGTGTACAATTTGGGGAAAGTCTTTGATTCTGCAAGACATAAATCTCAACAATAAGTTTACTTAAACTCGGCCCTAAAAAAGTACAATTTCCATATTTGAGTTAGAGAACAATAACAAGAACACTACTTAAAATATGATAGCGAATAAGAACAGGGCCGGCCTTAGGGCGAAGCCGTTGAGGTAACCACCTCAGGCCCCGCGTCTCATTTGGCCGAATCGATTGTATACTTCTAGTATCCAAATTTGAGAACCTAATCCTGAGTACTCGCCTCAGGCCACGCACCCTCCTAAGGCAGGCACGGAATAAGAATAATCTAACCTTACTCCAGATGCGGTTTGATATAGGTTTTAAAATTTGGTAGATTTGTTATTACGTATTACAGTCACTATATCGTTTCAATTCTTCTACCAGATCTCGATAAGTCTGGAAGAAAGTCACCATCTTTTCAACGGCTTTTCTTCTCAGTCACATTAATTTAAGGATGGAACTTGAAACAGCAGAATTGAGATATTTGTGGAGTTTAGATTAAATCTATTGTAATAACATATTTGCTTTTATTTTTGCTTGTAGTTAAGCACAAAGCTACACATTGGGCTGTCTGTACTCTTCCAACCACGGGTATCGAAACCCGGTTTCTAGCATTCTAAGTCTGCAGACATATCCCTGTGCCACTGGGCGGGGGGGGGGGGTATAATAATAATACTACTCGGTTTTTGTCTGCCCTAAAAATGCATGCGCACTTCATTCAAACGAAAGTAAACACAAGTCGGATACATACATATATATATACCTTAATAGACCTTTTATACAATAACGTGTTAAAAGCTTATCAAAGTTTTTAATAAATGTCTAACGTTAGGTCGTAGAATAACATTATAAGCTTATTTATTAATACTATTAAGTACGGTAAAGTTTAGCCGTAACTAAACTAAAGGAAAAAACGTGCACAAGTTACAGTGTAAATATATATCTTTATCGAATATGGGCCGTACTTGATAAAGGCTTAACTAATGCTAGGCCTAAGACAAATCAATTTATAGAGTTTAATGTCTGTGATTATAATTCTCTTTTATTATTCTAGAAATCCTGTGTTCAAAGATGAACTGTTGCTATAAAAATACTAATTTGACCTCAAACGTTTTACGAGTCTCTACTAGTATTACAATAACTTTGGTGTTTAGTTTAGCTCAGTGTTATGTGTCATGTAAAAAACTACAATTTGGCGAATTCTGGACTAGGTTAAACCTAAACGAATTCGAAAATGAACTGACAGATTGTCTTTACGCGAGACGTTTGTGGTATCAAAAACTGCGAAGTTCAAAACATGTGCGAAGAAATCAACTTCTCAACCATTTCTTTCAAAATCATTTACATTTTTATCTTATTTGTTTCATTGTGTTACTTAGTTAATTAAATAGTGTATTATAACATACAATATGTGCAGCTGCAGTACTAGTAAATTGTCGCTTCTCTTTTTATTAAACCTACACTAAAATGATTATAGAAATTTGGCACATTTAGTCCTCGGAATGTTTATTCCCAAGCTCTTTCTTTCCAACACTTTTAGTACAAATTTTAGTAAGTGTTTTAGTAAAGACTCGTAGTCCACAAAGCTTAAAACTTGAGATTTCATCATTTTCCTTTTTTATTTATTTATTAAGAAAAAGTGGAAAAGTAGATACACGCTGTATATATTTTTTTTCTTAACTTAACATAATCTTACCAAAATCAACGAGACATTAATCTTACGATTTTAAAGTTTGGGGGATAAAAAATTCTACTGTTACATTTAGTGTTATATTTATACTTTTACACAAAATAAAACAACCGTAGAACACCCTACAAATGATCATGTTGGGTATAATATATGCCTCAGTGAATCTAGTCGGAATAAACACACCACAAGACTGATGTGGTTGAAGGAAAGCATATCTCTAGAAGATTTTGTATAGGCCTGATAACAGTACGGATATAAATTGAATGCCATTATATGTGTCGTTACGCCTATATCGTTTTACTTATACGTTTATCGCGAAGGCAGAATTAACGCGATGTTGTGTTTCTTAGGGTTATGGGAAGATATATTTTAGAACATTAAGTTTACCATCGAAAGCGCAAAAAAAAAAAAAACGATTTACATAAATGTGTATGTAACTGAACTAGGAAAAAATACTTTTATGTATTATTATGGGAGATGGAATATTCATGATATTTTTACATAACAGTATGCACCATTTAAGGTGGCACACTAATCTTACCTAATGTTATGTATAACAATCGTGGAAAGCTAATTCTACACGAGTGAATGTGTGTCAACAAAAGTGGTTGATGGACGCTTTTAATTACTTACATGTGTTACTAAACGCAACCAACTATACACAAAATCACATTCATAGCTGTGATAATTTTCATAATTACGTGCGAGCGTAATGGCAGTAGAAAATAATTAAGTTTAGATTAACATGTGTTCACTGAAGGTAGAGGAAAGATATTTTTAGATACCTATGTGTGCTAATAAAAGTGTCAAGCTGTTACCTTTGCAGAAATATATGTATCAGTGATGGTAACAGGAAGATACCTATGTTTATGTCATGAAAGGCAGCAGAGAAGATATCAAACCAAATTTTATGCATGTTACCTACAGTTTTAAAATAGAATTTTTTATGTAATGTATGACGGAATACATATATATATATATATTGATAGCGTATATCATGTAGAGTATTGAAGATTATAATACTGCTCTTTTTAAACTAAACACGAGGGTATCTATCGAAGAAGTGCATTTGGCATAAGAAGTTTTACTTTTCAGATTTTTATTACCATTGCAAGAATTGTACGTACGTTTTTATGGTACAGACAATATTTTGAATATTACATTTTAAAACAAAGTTGAAGTTGTTGTAAGAACCTTGAATGTTGAAATCACTGTTAACTGAAGTTTGCATGTTATATATGTTGAAATCACTGTTAACTGAAGTTTGCATGTTATATATGTTGAAATCACTCTTAACTGAAGTTTGCACGTTATATGTGTTGAAATTACTATTAACTGAGGTTTGCGTGTTATATATGTTGAAATCAATGTTAACTGAAGTTTGCATGTTACATATGTTGAAATCACTATTAACTGAAGTTTACATGTTACATATGTTGAAATCACTCTTAACTGAAGTTTGCACGTTATATATGTTGAAATCACTGTTAACTGAAGTTTGCACGTTATATATGTTGAAATCAATGTTAACTGAAGTTTGCATGTTATATATATGTTGAAATCACTGTTAACTGAAGTTTGCACGTTATATATGTTGAAATCAATGTTAACTGAAGTTTGCATGTTATATATGTTGAAATCACTGTTAACTGAAGTTTGCGTGTTATATATGTTGAAAACACTGTTAACTGAAGTTTGCACGTTATATATGTTGGAAACACTGTTAACTGAAGTTTGCATGTTATGTATGTTGAAAACACTGTTAACTGAAGTTTGCACGTTATATATGTTGAAATCACTGTTAACTGAAAGTTACATGTTATATATGTTGAAATCACTCTTAACTGAAGTTTGCATGTTATATATCTAAGAGGATACATTATAAAGACATGTCACATTAATAACTTGTAAAGAAACAACATGAACAGTGTCGTTTGTTTTCTATTACAGGCAAACATTATCTCAGGTTTGAACGTGATCTTGAAGTTATGATTTGAATGTTAAGTTTTGCCCCACGCTGATATAAATAATTCTCGTCAAAAGCTCACCTTGTTGAAAACATTCCTACTCCAAGTTTCTGCAATGTCAAGAAACATTGTTATTCTTGTTCTTTCTGTATCTGCAAAAGTCTTTGCATGCTCATATATTATTAAATCCACTCCTTCCGTTTCCCTTTTGGCTTTACTGTTTCATAACTGTTTCAATTATATATTAAATAAACGTACTCATACTTTTGAAAAGTAATGAATATTATGATGTTATAGTTTAAGTCAACGGTCTTGAGTTGATTTTCATAAACACCGTTTGTCAACAGATTTTTAAAATTCGGAATAAATATGATGACGTAAATGAATTTGAAAAGGTAAGGAAACGAGCCACCTTTTTTACATTTATGTTAATTTTTGAATCATGATTATACGTATTCCGACGCCATAAACAGTAAAGAAGATGGTGACTAAGTTCACAGCAATATTTCACCACATTTTATAAAAAAAGTGCAATGTAGTGAAGATGATAAACCCTTTGTATTGGAGCTAAAGTCAAAATTTTTGTTGTTGCCAAAAATAGCGTTTTCAACAGAATTCCATATAAAGACAAAAATATTTTATCGAAAATGTCGTGTTAGTATTTACCCTTATAGAATGGATTTCTTCAAAATATATCTTTAAAATAATTACTTAAATGTTACATATATTGTTAATAAGTTTAGATATTCACACACGTATCTAAGTCACGGGAGTTATTATGACACGAAATCTAAACTAAACATCGTGGAAGATGCACTTAGCAACAGGGTAGCTGAGGAAAACATAGTGATAACAGCACGTTAACTTTCTTTGGAAATGAGTAATTGTAAAAAGATCTTTCTGACTGTAATGGTCAAATAAACCACTGGAAAAAAAAAGTTCACAAAACTCTACTAGCTTCGACCGTTCCCTGTTATTGTTGATATCGTTTTGTATCAGGTTATCTTACATTGTGTATGGCCAGAACGTTTCGTTTCGTCAACGGCATCATGGCCATTGTTTGTGAATAAAAAGAAAAGTACTGACTCTTTATATGTCATCTAAACCGTTGACTTCGATATAACCGGAGTATTGAAGGTAGTTTCCTGGATTTCCTCAGGGATCAGGTTTACTTCAGTCAGACCTTGAGGATTTCTGACATCTAACATGTGATTGCGATGTGGGTATGCTGATACTACTGTGACGTCAGTGGCTTCAAAGGCTGTAGAACGATAGGTGCTGTTTAAGCGAGACAGGTAGTTAAACTTACCACTCCTTCCTTGTCGGCAACCACTACATTTCGTTATTGTATCTTTGAAAGCTTGTCTGAACTTTAAAGAGAGGATGCTGTACAGGATAGGGTTGATAGTGGCGCTGAAGTAGTATGAAACGCCAGAAATGTAGTTCAAAACGTCATAAACTTTCTTGTCTGTTGGAGTTGGTTCCGTCACATAGATAGCCATCAAACGCTGGGCGTGGAAAGGTGCCCAGCAGATGAAAAAAGCTACCACCACAGCAACTATAAAAAACAAATACACATAATTTATTAAATAAGTCAATTTTTGAGTCTATTAAACGTTGGCGAGTCATATATATAAAAGCAAAACAAAAAATTAAATAATGAATAAGGCATGGCGTGTTTTTAAATAATATGACACTCAGTGTTCCTTATTAAAACAGTGTTAAAACACTTAAAGTAAGTCCTTTTCGGGGCTACTGTAGCGGAAACAAAAATTATCCTTATTCATATTTATTTAAATTTTAAAGAATCTAATAACAATGTATTTATTTATAAAATGACTAAACTAGATGGATAACACCATTTTACATACAAGAGCAATTATTATCCTATTTCTTTAGGTATCGCTTGGATAGCACGATATTTTTTAAGTGCGTTAATTATGTGGAAATATATGTCAATAAACTTTCCATGCTTTAGTTGTCGAAATAACAAGATCTGTAGTAAGAAAACTTCAATGTGTGTTGAGTGTTATGTAGATAACTTACAAACAACTGGTTTCTACTATCTACAGTGAGATATATCCCATAAATGGTGAACGTTATATAGATAATTTAAAAACAACTGGCTTTCACAATCTACAGTGAGATATCTCCGATGTATGATGAACGTTATATAGATAATTTAAAAACAACTGGCTTTCACAATCTACAGTGAGATATCTCCGATGTATGATGAACGTTATATAGATAATTTAAAAACAACTGGCTTTCACAATCTACAGTGAGATATCTCCGATGTATGATGAACGTTATATAGATAATTTACAAACAGTTGGCTTTCACAATTTATAGTCAGATATCTCCAATATATGATGAATATTATTTACATAATTTACAAAGAACTGGCTTCTTCAATTAATAGTCAGATATCTCCAATATATGATCAATATTATGTAGATAGTTTACAAAGAACTCCAATATATGGTCAATAGTATGTAGATAGTTTACAAACAACTGGCTTCTTCAATTTATAGTCAGATATCTCCAATATATGGTCAATAGTATGTAGATAGTTTACAAACAACTGGCATATCTGACTATAAATTGAAGAAACCAGTTCTTTGTAAACTATCTACATAATATTGATCATATATTGGAGATATCTGACTATAAATTGAAGAACTCCGATGTATGATCAATATTATGTAGATAGTTTACAAAGAACTGGTTTCTTCAATTTATAGTCAGATATCTCCAATATATGATGAATATTATGTAGATAGTTTACAAAGAACTGGCTTCTTCAGTTTATAGTCAGATATCTCCAATATATGAGGAATATTATGTAGATAATTTACAAACAATTGACTCTTACGACTTATAATGATAAAAGTAGAAGCAATCCATCTTTTGGATATTTAGGAACCAAATCTAGTACTGCTTACACGTCAAAAGAGGACTCTGCTGTTTCAACACGCTTCAGTCAGGACAAACGTTTAATATTTTTAAGACTAAAATATTTAAGATTTAAACTTGAACATATCAATGACATTAAAAAATAACTTGAAGCCCAGTCTGCATTTAATTTATCACGTGCCATTCAGTTATACCTGTTTTAGGGAAGTTCACCCCTAATCAGTAACCCTGGACTAGGATTCATATAGTGGCGGAGTCTATAGTATATGTATTGTGTTCTGAGATGTTTTTTATTCACATAGATATGTTTTAAGGCATATATTTGTATTTGCTTTTTATAGATACATGCTTTACACAATACGTGTATATTTCATGTGATGTCAACAATGAAACGCAGAAGTTTTTTCTCTACACAAGAAACAACGCTATATGTCGTTTTTCCCGAAAGTTTGGTGACGAAGCTACTTTGAATCTTACATTTATTTTGTCACTCGTATAAAAAATATAAAAGGAAACAGTCGACTTATCGCAAATGTTCTCTTTTTAGTAATGAACCGAACATGTCAGAGCTCCAAGCACATTTTCGTTATCAGAAGCGATAAGGCTAATGCAACGAACCAACTATCGAGTTGTGGACATTTTTCGTGATTTTTGTTTTGTATCAAACACAAATAAAGCTTTGTTATTTTGACAAGATACAATTTTACATATCCCCAATGTAGCGACACTTGATCACCTCATTGAATAATTCTTTCTTTAAAGACATAATTTACTGTATAATGTTTCATAGTGTAATAGGGCGTTTCCTTATTGAATAAATGGTGTCAAGTGTTTTAAGTAGTTTAACGTCAACCTGTCTTAGATGACCATTAAAATTTACCTAATAAATTCTGGGCAGATAACTTACAAAATTTGAGCACTTGTTTTTTTAATCATTATATTGTGAGATATTTTAACTCACTGGTCATTATGTAACAAATTGATAACTCACGAGTCGTTACGTGACTGTTTTAGGGATCAATGATCATTATGTGACTAATTCAACACTCAATGGTCATTATGTAATTAATTCATGAGTGGCTGGTGGTTATGTAAGTAAAATTCAAGGATAATGGGCTATCATGTAAGTCATTTCAGGACCACTGTCCATTATGTAATTAATTTACTTATTATTGTTAATTATGGAATTAATTCAAGGTTAACTGATTATTATGTGACATGTCCAAGGTGTGACTAGATTTAAAGATTTGTAGTTACTACGAAGCAAACCTAAAATTAAATGAAATTGTAGTATCTAAGTGGTGCATGTGCTTGCTTTTACTTACACACAGGTTGAGTATGGAGACTCATCACATTGTTATAGTCGATTTTGCTACATCCGGTCATGCTCTATCCGACGTCCGTGCATCCTGACTATAGCCATGAATGCTACTTTCCATTTCAAAAGGCTCTTCAGTTAAGGTTATCGTGGTCAAAATACACCTCTTCTTCCTGCTTCCTTTCTATAGATCATATTGACTATGAAGAGTACGTTTTTACAATGTTAGTATGCGATAGTTGAACAAATATATGAACGAAAAAACAATGTGTACACATGACTTGTGTCGCTTTTCCAGACAGAGATATCTCTTGATTATGTTCCATACTACTGTTATAGAATACAGGTAGATGGCTTTTTCTTTAACATTTGTGCTCATGAATTCTTTCCTGTTAGGAATACCACACTTTGCCTATTACTGTTGGGATTAGTTTTTTTGCAGGTCTCTTTCTTGATGGTCTTGGCCCCAACTTGATCTATATTCCCATTCTTGGAAATTATGAATCCCCGATCTGAACACATCCTTATGATTTGAGTGTATGAACATATTTATTAGGAAGGGATTGTTACATATTATTTCCAAAGCGTAACTGTCTTGTTGTGGTTTATGTTTGTGATGCGTCACATAATTTTCAGATACTGTGTACATTGTTCACTTAACCTTCGTGTCTTAGTAATACACTAGCTGTGTACCCGTCCTTCGTACGGGTTGTGTGTATAAATAATACATTAATTTAACAATTAACAAACAAATTACTTGTACATTGTTCACTCAACCTTCGTGTCTTAGTAATACACTAGCTGTGTACCCATCCTTCGTACGGGTTGTGTGTATAAATAATACATTAATTTAACAATTAACAAACAAATTACTTGTACATTGTTCACTTAACCTTCGTATCTTAGTAATACGTAATAAAATAATCAAGCCTATATTTCTTATAGTAATGCTTTCATTTTTATAGATATTGACAAAATAAGTTATTTTATAATAAAGGTATTCATAATTGAAGAACTTCTCATTTATAAACGTTAAGTTAACGCTAAACATTGTAAAACACAACTGGAAAAGTAGACAATTGAAAATTCTCAGCAGTAATTAATGTGTTCGAATTGCAACTACGTAACAAAGGGAAGTCCATACATATAATGAAATAAATGTACATTACACTGGTTTTCTGATATATATATATAAATATACGGTGAATTTATTTAGTTCGTGAATAAGTTACTAACTAGATCAAATTTAAAGTTTAACGACAACTTTGCATAAGGCAAGAATAATGGACAAACCCAAAACAAACTTTACCAATGACTGATGGAGATAATATTTGGCACAAAGTGAGTTAGTACAATTGTAGTTGTATAAACGCGTCTCTACTGAGGCTAATTCAGCCACTGAAATCTTTTGAAATATATTACCCTGTTCAATATTATGCTAACAATAATAAATAAATAGGGAAATAAACTGATATTTTTTTTAACAATGAAAACGGAGATTTCTTCCATTCGCCCTCAATTATATAATTAAACATGATATTTGAGTATACAATTAAACATGAATTACGCAGTTATACGAAAATAGCGAGCTTACGAAAATGGCGAACTTACTAATACTTTCCAGTAGCTGTCATTACGTTTATAGATACTAAATATAGTTCAAATTAAAATATACAGGTGGCATATAAGTGACAAAAAACTTGAAAGATTTTATTTCATCAAATCAAAATATTGTTGAATGTAAAGTTTGTACATTACAACGGCGTTGCTAGTAAATCCGCGGGAAAAATAATAATAACACAAAAAGTGCAACAATAAATCTCCAGAAAACATGCAAAGTAGATACAGCAAACCATTAATTAAGCATGAATGTAAAATTAACTGTACATTGAAAATTCTTAAAGATTACCCAATATCAAATCATAATGGATGAATTTTGCTTTTTTTTCCAGTCTTTGTTAATTTTCAAGTATATAGACCAACTTTTGCCTTTCTTATCAATGTTTATTTAAAGTCCTGATGTTGATTTTGGCTTCATGCAACAGGATTAATGATCTAGCCCACTTCATTGCTTTTTGGCATTCCTAAGCATGGGGAATAATAGCTGACTTTTCCATGTTGTTTCCAGAACGGAAGTGGTGTTTGTGTTGTGTTGTGTGTTATTTTCATGTGCATTCTGTTTCCCTAAATTCTTTCCACACGCACACGTCAGGCTGTAAATCACCTCCTTTTTTATCTTTTGGACATAATGGGGTTCTTACTTTATTTAAAAGGATTTTTAATATATACGTTCACATTTAAGTTTCATCTTGTACCAGGGCTTA